GTGCCTTGGGGTACACCAGTATTAGTTAGATTTCTCACTATTCTACACTAGGGTGAAAAATTTATGTCAAATTTAATTTATGTCATAACATCAGCTTAATTTGATCGTTTTTCTCTGCAATATAACTTTTAATTTGTAAATCATTAAAAAAGAAATAAATGCATTTAATCAGGGGAAACATTTGTACTCTAAAACTTTAAATGTGCATCTCCAACACATTAACCATGGAAATGCAATCATTCTTAGCACTAAATAATGGAAATTTTATGTATTGCAAGTAAAAATTGTTGTGAAAACACATAGGGCACAACCAAGGATCAGAAAACCAAATGTCCATTTTCCTTGTTGCAGTAAAGCAGCCTATGATGTGAAGAGTCTGAGGAAATCAAGGTCATATGCTGGAGAACTAACTGAGTTTCAGTTAAGAATTGGATTTGAGTTTGAATTAAAATATAATTTAACTTTTTTTAAGGAGTGTAGGCAGCATTAGACCACCTCTAATTTGAAACCAAACTTTGCTGGGCAAACTTCCACTATAATATTCTTCACTCAACAGATATTTGGTAAAATGTAGTTTGGGAGTATATAAAACTTTATTGAATTTGAGAAAACATAACAGTTTTATAAACACATTTGAGGCATTATGACCACCTTGTTTTTGGATGGGGTTGCATATTGGATCTCTTGGTGGTACTGTTACATAGCAGCAGGGCACTCTCATCTCCAATCCATGGATGAAGCATTCATGATCTCTCTATGTATGCACTGGGAAGCAGAGAACATCTGGACATGATGCCATGATCTTGGCACTGATGGCTGGATTTAGCTAATCCCTTTCACCTGCTTAGCTCCACCCAGCACTCATTGTCACTCATCAGATCCACCTGTTCCTGTTTCGTATATAATCCACCTGTTCCCAGCCATCGGTACCAGATTATTCAAGCTAAGTGTGAGAGTTTTCTAGCAATCTGTGTATTTCTGATTACCTGATCCTGACTAGTTTCTGCCGCTGGACTTCTGACTTTTGGTTGCCCCTGTTCTGTTATGTTGCCTAATCTGTTTTCGGACTCTTACCTGCATTCTGCCTGCTTATGACCTTGGATATGTCTCCTGACCCCAGCTTGGAAACTCCTTCAGTATCCCTTCAAATCGCTGATCTTCTGGCCTGGAAACCTGCTCCTGCTTCGACTCTGGTTTTGGATTCTCCCTCCGGATTCTTCTGATCTTCCGTGTCTACGGGCTTCTGCTCGTCGTTCTGCTCTGCTTCTGTCCTGGAACTTTGGTAGTGGCTCTGGCCTCATGCTACAGAGAAAAAATCTCTCCGGTTTCCACTCCTTCTTCTGAGCTCAGACCGAACTTTAACCAGGTTAGTGACTCACATGCTTATTATCATTTCCCGTCTGAGTTTCAAAGTCACTAATCTGAGTTTCCACCTCTACAGAGTATCCAGTGACCCTGCCCCTGCTGACGAGCTGCTGTATGCTGAGCAGTTAATAAGCACTTGCTTTTTAAACACTCTGATCTGTCTGCTTGAATTCTGGGTCCTACGTTCTGAGCTTCTCACACAGAGGATGTCCATACTGGACCTCTGATGTACGTATGTTATTTTCTCTTATAAAATGGAAAAAAATCTAAAAAAGGTATTTACTACTTTAAAATTGTAGGGAAGCTGCTGTTCCAACCGTTGCATTTCTGAATTCTCCCGAGTGGTGCCCGACTTTACACGAGTGAATAAAGTGAATGTGATTGGCCGATTATCAAGGAGGCGGGATTGTTGTGGCGAAAGGTTCGCAAGCATGTTTGGTTGAGGCCAGTGTCTCGGAAGCATCTTGCTAACTAGTTAGCAACTTAGTGCTAGTAGGTTCCCAATGGGAAATTTCATTGGGACAATGTAGCAGTTAGCAACGACACTGTCAAGGAACGCTATGGACAGCGGAAACATGCAAGAGGAGAAGAGTTTTGTGTCGGAGTGTCGTGGATAAGTCTCCTCCGTCATGCATTTTTTATTTAGACGAGGAAAGCAGGGACGAACTTGTTGTGGAAGAGGAGGCCAGGGCGTCAGAAGCTTCATTTGGTGTAGAAGGCTTACAGTCGTACATGTTTGAGCCCTTGCCTCGCAGCGCTGCCAGTTCTGTTACCTCTACGCCTGCTGAAGACACAGACGTGCTATGACCGAAATAAATTTGATTGACAGATGGCCGTTGATATATGATTGGCTGAATTTTGGTGTACAAGCTGACGTACAACTAACTGACCTGCATAAAATAGTGAACCCCCCCCCCACTGATTTTAAGAAAGGATTTTTTTTTTTATAAAAATTTTCTACATTTTGGAACAATATAGTCTGATAAAGAGTACATTTATATACACGTTTAAGCCAGAATGATGTGAAATTAAAATTTGACTTCCTTATGACTTTAAGGAAATGTTTGACTAAATAAATTATTAAATACAGAAGAGGAATACAGAGAGAAAACTTACACTCACCGGCCACTTTATTAGGTACACCTGTCCAACTGCTCGTTAACACTTAATTTCTATGCAGCCAATCACATGGCGGCAACTCAGTGCATTTAGGCATGTAGACATGGTCAAGACAATCTCCTGCAGTTCAAACCGAGCATCAGTATGGGGAAGAAAGGTGATTTGAGTGACTTTGAACGAGGCATGATTGTTGGTGCCAGAAGGGCTGGTCTGAGTATTTCAGAAACTGCTGATCTACTGGGATTTTCACGCACAACCATCTCTAGGGTTTACAGAGAATGGTCCGAAAAAGAAAAAACATCCAGTGAGCGGCAGTTCTGTGGGCAGAAATGCCTTGTTGATGCCAGAGGTCAGAGGAGAATGGCCAGTCTGGTTCGAGCTGATAGAAGGGCAACAGTGACTCAAATAACCACCCGTTACAACCAAGGTGGGCAGAAGAGCATCTCTGAACGCACAGTACGTCGAACTTTGAGGCAGTTGGGCTACAGCAGCAGAAGACCACACCGGGTGCTACTCCTTTCAGCTAAGAACAGGAAACTGAGGCTACAATTTGCACAAGCTCAACGAAATTGGACAATAGAAGATTGGAAAAACGTTGCCTGGTCTGATGAGTCTCGATTTCTGCTGCGACATTCGGATGGTAGGGTCAGAATTTGGCGTCTACAACATGAAAGCATGGATCCATCCTGCCTTGTTTCAACAGTTCAGGCTGGTGGTGGTGGTGTCATGGTGTGGGGAATATTTTCTTGGCACTCTTTGGGCCCCTTGGTACCAATTGAGCATCGTTGCAACGCCACAGCCTACCTGAGTATTGTTGCTTACCATGTCCATCCCTTTATGACCACAATGTACCCAACTTCTGATGGCTACTTTCAGCAGGATAATGCTCCATGTCATAAAGCTGGAATCATCTCAGACTGGTTTCTTGAACATGACAATGAGTTCACTGTACTCAAATGGCCTCCACAGTCACCAGATCTCAATCCAATAGAGCATCTTTGGGATGTGGTGGAACGGGAGATTCGCATCATGGATATGCAGCCGAAAAATCTGCGGCAACTGTGTGATGCCATCATGTCAATATGGACCAAACTCCCTGAGGAATGCTTCCAGCACCTTGTTGAATCTATGCCACGAAGAATTGAGGCAGTTCTGAAGGCAAAAGGGGGTCCAACCCGTTACTAGCATGGGGTACCTAATAAAGTAGCCGGTGAGTGTAAGTTACCATACAGACTGACTTCATCCATCATTTTTCTTTGAGTTCTTAAAATGACAATTGGGAACCGCCCTCTTCTCTAGAGCCTTGCCCCCTCATTGCTCCCCTCTGGGTCCCCCCGCTGCCCAAAGACCGTAAACAGCAAAAGGACACGATTTGAGCCTTTGTGGATGGGAAGAAAATGTGTGCTTTCCTTCCAATCGGATTTGGCAAGGGTTTGATTGATTAGCTAACTCTGTCAAACATATCAAGAATGTGATACTTTTTAGCTGCTGCTGTGATTGGCTAAAAGCTCAACATGGGAGGTAGGTACCTATAATCAGTGGTGTGGTGGCCTAATGGTTAGGTCACCCCAGAGGTTCAGAGTTTAAGCCCCATTCCCATAGACTGCCACTCTGGGTCCCTGAGCAAGACCCTTAACCCCCACATTGCTCCCCGGGTGCCACACAATGGCAGCTCACTACTCCCCAAAGGGAATGGGTTAAATGCAGAGTGAATTTTGTTGCTTTGTACTTGTGACAGTGTAATGACAATAAAATTAAAATTCTATTCTATTTTATTCTAATGAGCTCGAAGGATTGTACTGAATGTGTTTCCCTTTAACATGTTCTACACGAGGCTTCGCAGAAACCCTGTAAGAAGTGAATTGAATTACACATATTAATCTGGTTTATGCCAGGTTATTACATATGAGCTATACATGTCTAATAAATAAACATTTGCACTATATTGTTCATCATTCTATATACCTACTTAACCTTCATACTATATACCTATAACTTTTACATTATAAATGGAATAATTACACCAAAAACCTTTTTATTACAATTTTCCAGTTTATTGTCACACACCTGTACATGACCCTGCATTTATTGTGAATTAGATAAGAATAAAATCAATTTAATTCAACCTTTAAGTTTTTTTTATAAGATGCGAAAACGTGCGTTTCTGTCATTATACCTCGGATTTATGCTTTGCTTTTGAACCTTAAATTTATTTTTTATATCTCTGCTTTGTGAAAGTAGGAGTCAGACCTGTTAAAACGTTTTCACTATTTGCATAAATGACTAATATTAGCCTAAATCTTATTGATCGTATTTATTTTCAGTTCCGGAACATGTCAGTGAGTGAATGCAGCTCCGCTCCATCAGTATGGTCTCTCTTTGTGTTTTCGAATATCTATATTTTCTTTTCAGCGCCGCACTCAGAGCCTTGGGGCACCTTGTCCGTACGCTGCTCTCGGGGGCGAGCTCTTCCAGTGCGTGCACGCGCGCGCGATAAATAGTGCGTGAGTGTGTGTGAAGCGTGCGAGCGTGCGTGCGTGCGTGCGCGCCTGCCCACGCGCGTGTGTCTGCTCTGCTGTTGCTGCCCTTTGATCCCTGCATTAGTGTTAGTTAGGGGCTCGGAGACTCGCTCACACCGAGAGCAGCCATAGTCAGACAGGCAACAACAACAGCGAGCGGCGCCTCCTCCGCCTGGTTCCCCCCGAGCAGCACTCTTTAAACCGAGCAAAGCCAGGTGCACGACCGAGTTCCTGCCATCACTGGAGCCTCCGGTCTCAATGGGAGAAATCCTTTTTTCTCCTCATCCCCAAACAAGGACGAGAATGTGATTAAAAGCGAGGGGGGAAAATGCCAAGGAGGAAGCAGGAGCAGCCCAAGCGCCTGCCTTCACGTAAGTCCCCCCGCTCGGTGTGCGGCTTCAGCGGCTGTTTGGCGCATAGTTCAGGGTTCTAGAGGTGAAACAGACAAAAGGCTCGGCGGAGGTTATTTCTCCCCATTTTTTCAGGTCCGAGCGAGGCAGCCATGTTGCTGGCGGATGGGTAACGTTAGCCAGGCAGAGAGTGGATCAACGGGACTCGGCTTTAATAAGGAGCAGAATCGATAAAAGGTCCGTTTCCGCTAAAAGGTTGCGGTCAGTTGGTGTCGGGGCGGTTGTGTGCGGCATTACGGCCGGAGCGCTTCGGTAACGTCTTCGCCCCCTCTGGGAGGGGGGGAGGGAGGAGAGTGGGGGAGGATGTGGGAGTCTGGCCGCAATAAAATGAAGGGTCAGCCGGAGCAGCCGAGCGAGGGTCCGGCTCCGAGCAGCCCGCTGCTCTCGGTTAGCTCCGGCGCTACCTAGCAGCTCTGCTCGGTAAACTTCGCTTCTCCGGATCCGAACCGACAACTTTCGCCTCAGTTTTGCTGCCTAGAGGGACCAGACTCATTCTGCGTTTGTTTATGCCGTAGACTTATTTTAAAAGTGTTCATATAATTTTTTTATATCCACGTATAGACATATTAGCCCCCCCCCCCAATATGAAGGCAGAGCCATGATCGGTCACCTGAAGTTCAGGGTTTTTCCCCCTTCCTTCCTCCCTTCCTTCCCTCCTTCCCTTTGCAGCCATTCATTGCAGACAGACTCCGATCAATAAGGCGGTTATGGGGAGGAAGCGGCGCTCAGCCTCGGCTCCGCCGCCTGTGCCGCAGCAGAGCCCCCCTCTACTTTCTGAGGAGTTTTCACCACTCAGTGCTTTGCTTTCTGTGGGCTTTGACCCTTCCTGTCTCCCATATTCCACCTTTTATCGGTCCTATAATGAAACGCTGCAATAACGGACTCTGGCCGCTGGAGGATTCCTGACGTGTTCCAGGGGCCACTAATAGAGGGACATTTTAGGCCCTTTATCATTTCTGCTCAATGCACGCCCAGGTGCAATTAGTGATATTGATATGCAAATGTAGTGAATAATTAAGTGATTCAGCTTCATGTATTTGTCTTTCTGTATTCCTTAAAATGCCATGCCACCAGATGTTCTGCATCACTGCTGGATTTGCTGGTTTATTTGCAGCTCAGGTGTTTGACCTGAGGCTGAACTGGGGGTGGGAGGGGGAGGGGGGGGATTCGGTGTGGAAGTGACCAACAGTGTGGAGACTGGAGTCAGCGTTGCTCTGATCCATATTAGCAGTCTTTATATCCTCATCATCATCAAGGTCTCTTCATTGATCTGTGTTTTTTTTTTTTTTAGGTGGACCAATTACTGATTTTTCTTTTTGTTGAGTCCTGAGTTTGGCTAGTTTTCTTCTTTCTTTAGGTATTTATTGTTCAATTTTTTGTTTATTAACCTGTTAATATCCACCTCATTTTGGGAAATTCTCGCCTATTTTGCATACCCAAAAAGCAAATAATCTAGGAACTGTAATCCCAAATTACATGTGTGATACATTATTTGAAAGCTAACACCTTCTAGTTTCTGAATATATACACAGGGTTTCCACGGGTCATTAACAAATCATTAAAAGTCTTTAAATTATTATTGTTTAAATTAAGGCCTTAATTGGCATTAAAATTCATTAAATGTGTTTATTGTGGCATTTAAAATGCTTTAAAAAAAATGTTTATAAAAACAATTTCGTCAGACATATTATATCACTATATATTTGCATGGAACTGCTTCCGGTTGATCGCAAAGCTGTATGTTCAGAAAAGAAGCTTGAGTCAGAGAAAAAGCTAGAGAATGAAAAAAAAAAAAAGGAAATTTCAACAAAATTGGTCGGAAAACAAGGAATTCGGGACCTGACTGCAGCCTGTTGACAGATACCTGTTGTCTGCATTAAAATGATTTCTAACAGCATTAAAAGAGCATTAAAAAGCATTAAATTTGAGTTATTCATTCCGGTATAAACCCTGTATACATGAAAATAGGGTGAGTAAAACACCCAAGCTTCATCAGTTCAAGCAAGACTCAAAGTTGTTTTTTTTATTCCCGATTATAATAGCTCCTTTTTTGAACAGCAGTTATAAAGACATGCTTGCTTGTTGTGGCTGCTTTGTCATGGTACACTGTGATATGCTGCTATATCTGTGTTAACTGTGCTTTGGTGCTCGCTGTGTCCATAAAATGAACTAGGTAGTTGAAATTTTGGAGAATCTAAGCTTTCCAATGATGTCTATATTGGTAAACATTTTACCAGTGTAATATTCATATATTCTAAGTTATTATTTATAAACGCTTTAAAGAGTTTTTCAATTCAAAAAATATCTACTGGACTTGGTTTCCAAGATTTTAAAGAGTTTAAAAGGCGGGCGTAAAGTCCTCCACATTCAAAATATAAATGAATTAAACTAAAATGTTTTAGAACAATAGATCTATAGTTTCTAGAAGTATGCGGTGTGCATACAGAGTATAAACAGTATGCAGGGAATCAGATGAATTAGAAAGCAGCTGCAGGGCAGAAAGCCTCTTTGAAAAGAATCTCAGTTTGAACAGGAGACGGATCAAAAAGGCTCTAACCCCATCCGTACTACAGCCTGGACGTGAGAACTTATAAAAGTTAGTGTTTCAAGATATCTCAGCCCTATTGTTCCTATTAGCAACGCAGCAGGTGAGGATGTTTGGATCGTTTAGGGTTTGTAGTTGAATTCCTAAATCAAATAAGCTGATGTGAAAACTGAGCCCTCGCTTGATTCACATCTACAAGCTCCCCATTCCCACAACAGGATTAGCATCATAATTTAAGGTTTTAACCATCTTAGGTTTATACGTTATTTCAATCTGAATGTCCTTTTCTTAAGGTATAATGTTTTCCTATGCTAATTTCAATTCATTATTTTTTTATAGTAATAAATGTGACCTTCTGGCTACTTAACAAGTGAATAACTGACGTTTATCCTTGACACTAAAAGGCAAAATGTCCATCATAGACCATTAGTTTGATCTGTCATTCATGTTACGTTTTCTTTCTCCCAGCATCTTAACCAGTTTGCAGTAGCTGTGGTGTCCAGCTCAGTATCTGAGAGAAACGGCTCTAATTTCCTCTCATCTTTTCAATTGTTAAAAATCAATGCATTAAGCTGCTGTCGATACCAGACCTGAATTGTAGTTTATGTTGTCGTCCGAGGCGCTGAAGCTCAGAGGGAGCAGCAGGGAATATGTGGGTTAGGGAGGTTTGATTTATTTCATGAAATGTTGCCTCGTCACCTGGACCTAGAGGAGAATCGGTCCGTGTCACACAGCTCCACAGTTTAACAGCGTTTCAGGAACTCACCAAAACAAAGAGAAACGATCACAGAGTTGACATGTTGAACTCCTACAGAGTCTGACACACTTTGCCATCAGGATGCCCTGCGTGCCTTAAGGCCGATATTTCCAGTTCAAGTTGGTTGAGCTTAAAATGAACCAGTTTACACTTCAGAAACCTTATCCTTTTCACAGTAAGTTTGTATCATACAAGCCATTCAGTTAGTCAGTATCATCATATTTTCTACAGCCTGTTGGGTTTTGGTCTGATTCTCTTTATTATCAGGGTTCCCGCGGGCCCATAAAAAGTCTTAAAAGGCATTGAATTCTTTAAAATAAAACTAAGGCCTTAATTGGTATTAAAATGTCTTAAATCAGTCTTTCGTAGGTCTTAATTTTTAAAACATCATAAATAGGATTATTTTTATTACGATTTATTTTTGTAATCTAAATAAAACGTTAAAATTGACAATATATTTTTTTTATTATAAAAAAAAAAAATGGCTCGCCATTATTGGTTCTTTCCCCATAGTGGAACCAATAAAAGCTTTGTTGCGGCCGGGACATTTGGGAGATGCGCCATTTACTTTTTGTCTGGAAAATATGAGTAAGTGTAAATGTAACGAAAATTTGCTTTCCAGCCAAGAGTTTTCTCCATGGCTAAAACCAGGGAACATACATGAGGCTCAGTGTGTTTTGTGCAAGAAGCGATTCAAGCTCGGAACGATGGGAATTAAGGCAGTGGAGTCGCACATGCGAAGCACGAAACACAAAGCGTCAAAATGGAGTTACCGAGAAACAGCCGGTATTTCTCAGTTTTGTTCCACCCTTGTCTCTGCAACGCCTCCACTTATCACCAAATCAAACATACTAAGAAAATTATATAAAAGAAAAATAGCTGCAAAAAAGACTTAGCACTGGTTATGTTGTGGCTTTAAAACTGATTTGTTTTGTTCCCTGCTAAAACAAAGTTTGTGAATTCAGTAAAAAATTTTTTTTAAATATATCTGTCATTTGTGTGTTTTTAGCTTTCTTCCTGTGTGGGAAGCTTTTCAAAATTTGAAACGTTAGTCCAGTGGTTTATGTTAAAATAAACCTTTGGGTTAAGTTGTCGCAAGCGGGTTTTTCTTGTGTTTCTTGTGAATTTGGTCTTAAATTTTTATTTCAAGTGGCATTAAAAAGTCTTGAATTGAATTTGCCTTATGCTGTAGGAACCCTGATTATTTACAGCAGATGTTAAAACAATAGATTTAATGATTATCTTAAAATACTTTATTAGATAAAAATCAATTGATAATGTCACATCAAAGGAGTATACCACCCCCCACTAGAGGGCAACGCTGTTCAATCTTAAGCAGAGCCTCACTAGTATTTGCTATAGAAGTATTGCCAGAGCAGAGCAACGGATGATCCAGAGTTCGGTCTGGATTGTTTCCACTGTTTAATGGATCCAAGGATCTAGAATGAACTTTCTGTGGTTCTGTCAGTAAATCTAAACTCTGAATAAGATTTTTTTCTCCGCTAACTAGGCCCATTTAGCTGTGCTGCATGGAGGAGCAGCAGAACTTCTCTGCTGAGATCAGAAAGAGAGGATGATAGAAAAGTGGAGGGCATTACGCTAGATGTTTGGAACAGGATAGAAGAAGACATGCTAGCAGTTAGCACGCTAGATGGACAA